GACGGCAACCATATTAGATGGTAGGACAAATATAGAGGTTTCGCACCATCACGTGACGGCAACCATATTAGATGGTAGGACAAATATAGAGGTTTTGCACCATCACGTGATGGCAACCATATTAGATGGTAGGACAAATATGGAGGTTTCGCGCCATCACGTGACGGCAACCATATTAGATGGTAGGACAAATATAGAGGTTTCGCACCATCACGTGATGGCAATCATATTAGATGGTAGGACAAATATAGAGGTTTCGCACCATCACGTGACAGCAACCATATTAGATGGTAGGACAAATATAGAGGTTTTGCACTATCACGTGACGGCAACCATGTTAAATGGCATGAACAATGCAATCGTTTTACATAAGAAGGAATTCAATCCCCGAGAGCAAAGGGATTCTGTTGTTCTGCCATCTAACCACAGGCAGTCCAAGCTGTATTGCGGGCAAAATCTCTATGTATAATTTATATACTGCGTCATCTTTGTTTTGTTTCTTCCCTTAGCAAGTTGGCCGTTATATCTTCAAAGCAGTTCATTGGGTTCGAAGCTGCATGTCGTTAGAGGAGTTTGATTACAGTTAGTGAGTTTTGGGCAAATCACCCCACCTCCTTCCCCCACATATATCTCCCCAGTATTTTACCTTCAATCGTAACATTCGCGTAAAAGTAGTCCATCACCAGCTCCCCGCAACATCGTCCACGACTCTCAAGTGCAATTCCTTGTGATTCGTTCACACGATCAAGCAACATTATCTTGTTGTTTCCACTATTCCTACTCTTCGAGGCGTACAAGAACTCAAAAGGAGTACAATCTTTATTAGATACTGAAAAAGTCTTTGAAAGCAGTGTTTTCGTACATTTTTTATTCGGGTAGACAAAGTAAAGTGTGTCGTTTTCATGATTTTTCGTTTGAAGAGCATGGAATGAAAAATCGTAGATCCAAGCGTTGTAAGGCGGGACGGTGTCTAGTTTGAATAAATTAAATTCTTCTTTGTAGTGAACGTGAATCAGTTGATAAGCTGCAACAGATAAAACCTGTGAGTTAGCACTGCACCTTCAAGTAAAACAAAAGGCAATGTTGTCCTAAAGGAAAAAAGGAGATTTCAGGGCAAGAATACCCCCCTGACCGGACGGAAGGACGAAAGGACAGAAGGAAGGATAGATGGATGAACCAAACAACGGACTAATAGTCCCCTTCACAGGTCCCTGCGCCATCTTGAAAGGTGGCCGTGCCTTTGCATCGAAGCGAGACGAACGGTGAGCTTGCAATGATAGAGACATGTAAGTAATTGTCCAAGGTGTTAAAAAAGGTCTCTATCACTGCAAGCTCACCGTTCGTCTCGCTTCGATGCAAAGGCATGGCTACAAGATGGCGCAGGGACCTGTGAAGGATACTATTGGCAGTTGACTAACTGACGGATTAAAACAAGATGAACAATTATAAAACAACTATTTTTTTAACGAATGTCCAATAGATTTTTTGAAGTTTTAAAAATATATCTAATTTGTTAAACTTACTCAGATTTTGACATTTTCCCTTGGCAAATTTAATATCATCGATGGCAGCATCACTCTCATAGCTTAGCCCCCTCACTCCATCGATGAAAATCTAAAAGTTAAGAAAACTTAATGAAAAATTAGGCCAAATTTTTGCATGACTGGAAGTTCAGGGCACAGGATAAGGTCACGGTACGTAGGGACTGGGTTCGAGTCCTTCACAGCGCGCTTGCGTCTAACCAGAATATATAGAGAACATTGCAATGGCAACCATCATGACATATTTTCTTCAAGCTTGTCAAAAGGGTGGAGAACCTATATAGCACTCACAATTAATGTAATGTATTCAGAAAATATATTGTATCATATTGTCGTTCTTTTAATTTTAATGTATTAGGTGTACCTTAATGTATTTAAATGAATACATTATAGTAACGGCTTGCTAAGTAGGCTCTGACGTTAAAGGTTGTCAACAGTTAACGGAGGGGGAGGAATGATAAAGATGTAAGAATTAAACCCAGTGTTATGATGATGGCAAAATCCAGAGTATACGCTTTAAGCTATTTTGAATCTCGCTTAACAATACGTACTCTTTTTTTTGTTTCGTCTCCTGTCCAAAATAATGACTACTCTATCTGACTTCTATCTCTTATTTTAGAAATGAATAAAGCACTTGGGGATTGGCAGAATACTCGAGAAGTATTGAGAAGCACTCCGCTGTGTCGAGCTTCTTATAACACTTCTCTCGACGTGTTGTGCCAACCCGCGCGTGCTAAATAATTTCTTCAATTCATTTACCTGATAACTATTTTCATCATCGATATAGACATTCGCTTGTCTCCACTTATCGTACTGGTTTCTGGACTTAATCCAGACAGGTATTGCATCACTTGTCCTGTTGTTGTTCACATACACCACGACACTACCCATGGTACTACCGAACATGTAATACATGAACGACATACAATGTGGACCTTCGATGACAGGGCTGATGAGTCGTGCTGTGTCACCGTATTTACGAGGAGAGGATGCTTCTATGTATATATACGATCCAGAACCTGAAGGAACCGAGTGTTCGTATTAGAGAGGTGTCTGTATTATGAAGGTTTGTTTTAACCCGAGGAAGTGCCCGTATTGCAGAGGTGACCGTAATAGAAGTGTCTTTTTAATGTGACAAATGCAGTCATAACCAAAAGAAAAGACCTTTTTAGCTTCGTTGTATGTTGTTCACATTTCAGTCCATGTGACGCCACTCTTGGGAGTTGATTCTTTCATGTGCAAATATTTTAACAAGTTTGTCATAAAAGAACAATATCGAGGGAATGTCATATGATCTAAATGGGCAATTTGCATAAGAAGCTAAAGAGATCTATTGGGAAGTGTTCCTAAGTCGATTTAAAGTTAAAAATGCAGTCATAGCTGAATGAATTGTCCGCATCATACAGGTCACAACTGTACTATAGATGTTTAATTCTAAGTAAAAAATGAATTCATTAGCAAAGAAGTGCCCGTATTATATAGGTAAGTCATAAGTACAGTCAACTCTCGTCTCGTTGACAACCCGTAATACAGTCAACTCTAGTTACAGCGGCCAAAAATATTGGCAAAGAAATGACCGTAATTAATTCTCGCTATTGCGGACGCTCGGTATTACAGACACTAAGTGACGGTCCCGAGGGTGTCCGCTGTAACACAACATTACTATATTAATAATAATTGATAAGCAATGAATTTACGCCATGTTAAAAAAATCTTAATTTTCTAAGTCAACCAGACAAGACTTAGTGGACTAAACGTATTCTTGGGGTGCATGTTACGTCGAAACCTTTCTCATTAGCTTCTCTTGTTAGATCAACCAAGATGGCGGCTGTTTCATTGTTATTCATATATATCTTAAGGGATTTTGAGTCATGTGGTTGTACCCCAAGTATAGTTTCAACATTACTGTCATTAACTACCTGATGCATCTGCAGATGGCCCTGTATTGAGGCTGGGTGTTTTATAACGTAATCTTGTCCACTGTAATGGATTGCTTGTATTTTGGGTCCAGTTGCAGAACGACGAGTCAAAATTGCAGCCGTAATCTATTAAAAAAACAAGTCAATAAACCAAATCCAATTGGGCGTAATGTCTTGCCCATTTCTGACAACGTGTCACTCTTGAGAATAAGTTTCTTTGTTTGAGTCGCATCCATATTCATGCGTTTTCTCATCTGCAACCGTTAAACAAAAAAATAATACTCTAGGGAATGACACGTGGTCTGAAATAGGTCTGAGTAGGTCTATAAACCTTCTTAGATTGTTCGTGATGTTTTCACATTTCAAAGCCTGTGTTATTCTCTTTAGTAGTATCATTTCTTTGTTTAACGGTTGCGCATGAGAGGACACATGAATATGGTACAAATCCAACGGAGAATCTTGTCATCAAGAGAATTACAAGAGGTCTGAAATGGGAGAACATTACGCCCAAAGTAAAGGGATCCATTCTATTTTCATATATCTAGGTGTGATTGTCTCACGCGGCAAACATTGGCCGAGCGAGGATTAGTAGCTAGCCATATCCCAAGGGGAGGGGGTGTGGTCTGTTCCGAATGATCCTCTGTCTTACATCACCCTAATAGGTCTTCGGATCGAATTCCCCCCCTACTCCCACCCCCCTCCACCCCTAAAAACTGCAACTCCCTCGACGCAAACCTGAGGAAAAGTACCTTACGACTTACCAGTAGTTTGTGTGCTGATGATGTTTATCATTGTGGACAGGATATCCAGTATCATCAATATTTGTTGAAACTCCATCCTTTGAACTAGTAATCTTCTCGTAGATCTTAACTAATCAATAAATAAATAAAGATAGGACTTGGTTAAACAAAAACAAAAAACCCCGATAAAAGAAATGGGAGGAATGAGAAATTAGCAGTAGTTTCACAGTGTGGATCTTCTTTCATTGATTCTCAATGAAAATTAAAAAGGAGAAGGGAGGAAACTGGAAAGTCCTGAGAAAAACCGTTGAAAAACATGACAGAAGCAACAAGAAACTTCACTCACTCATTTTACTTCGATGACGCGGGGATTGAATTGCTTTCACAATTCTCCCTAGCTAGGGGCACAGGTGCGCTCTTTACCCCTTAAACTATTAGTGCCCCTTATTATTTAACAATTATTCGCCGAAGGCGAAGTGAATATCGGAAAATAATAAACGAAACGAAGTTGAGGTTATTAATCCCGATATTCACTGAGACTGAGGTGAATAATTGTTTTAGTTTAAATACGCAGGTGATTCTTTCAAAAAAAAAAGGAAAAAAAGAAGAAGATAAAAAACACATTTTAAACCACATTTTAAAGCGGCTGGCCACCATTTTGGAATATCGCTGGAGGTGCTTGTCGTGTGATAATCTGAGTTTCTCGACCAATCAGCGCGCGAGATTTTCAATAATCACCTGTGTATTTATACTAAAGGTATATGAAACTAAAGCTACACATATTAACAGAGAAAAGTCGAAACAGAAGATTCTGAGGATCGAACCGGGGACTTCTAGCTCTGGGCCCGGTTGTTCAAAACCCCGATTAAACATCGGGGTTTTGAACAACCGGGCCCTGAAGGCGGCGTACTAATCAACTGAGCTACGCCTGCTCCTAATACATACCAAAACTGAATGCGGGAACTTTCTTTGGTGTACTTTTTCGATCGCTTGTCTGGCGTCGTTTGTTATGTTTGGTTAATCATCAAGTATTCCTTGATTCTCGGTTAATCAAAGTTACGTTTAACTCAATTTCGTGCACAATATTCATTTGTTCATTGGATATCTATGAAATCTCAAATTATTTGTATTCTTGGGAAGTAAGTTTGAAGATATTTTGACGCTGAAATGACGCCAACCCTACCTCCGTCTGTAATCAAGAAACACAGCGGTGTTTTATGAATTTAACAAATATTTCAATTTGCGCGTGGGTGCTACAGCTGCTCGCCAATATATGAGTAAGACGTAATCTACATTATGCTTCCTCACGAGATGAAGGGTTAATTTCACTGTGTTTAAAACGGTTTTAAAATTGCTCTCGTTGCTAGGCGACAAGGGAACAAATTCAAGGCTAAAAATACACTTGTCAAATTGTAAACCTAAATTTCAAACTACTTGATTCAAATAATTACATAAGGCTTTTTTGGTTGATAGAACGAATTAAAATTGCTAAGATATTGATCAAAATTATTTTTTTAAGGATAAATTAGACAATCAAAGGTCCCTTATCTATGGCGTGTATACGAGCGCAGCGTGGCTTCACTGCAAAGTTTGGATCATATGCTGACGCTACCCATGCTCGGTAAGAGTACAGACAATAGAGAAAGACCTTAATTTGTTTTTTAGTACAAAAGAATTCACTAATACGCATTTTTTCGACGTTCTTTAGTGATCAAAACAACCAATGGAAAGAGCGCGCGCTCGTTGACGTCAGCTTTATCTGTCTGTCCTCGATCATAAAGATAGTTAATCAGCGCGCGACAATTTACAAATTTATTACATCCATTTTGAAATCACAAGCAAATCCTGCAATCTGATTGGTTCCCTGCAGCAGTGATTTCAGCATAAATCGCACGATTTTGAGCTCTAAATTGCACGATTTTACACATCAACTGATATGAACCAATCACAAGAGAGACATGTCATTTTCTAGCCAATTATATCAAGGAATTCATCTGAGTGTTGAGCTCACCGCTTCTTGCGAAAAAAAAGAGCCACGACTCAAAAACAAATTTTCTGAAGAACCGGATTTTACCGTCAAAAGTCTTTAAAAAAGACTTAAAAAGCCGTAAAAAGGACTTAAAAAGACCAACTGATCACTTCAAATCGTCAAAAGCATCTTTGTAAAGTAACTGCTTAAGTAAGTTGAAGATATTACAGCGAAAAGCAGTGGGGGAAAATGCAATCGGCATCTTTTGAATGTGACTTCTTTGCGATTGATCGTGGAAAGTGGTTTCCTTTCAATCTGTAAAGCATAACAACACATCGACGAAAATAGTCACTGAAAGAAGTTTTTCTTAAGAAGAAGATTTTTGCTGAGCTACGTGACTTCTTAAGGACAACCGAAGGACTAAACAACCTTTGATTTTTGCTGTTTTCTCGGCACAAGTGTGATCTTAACATGTTGAACAGAAATCGTAAAAACACAAGCAGTGAGCATTGGCTGTATGGACAACAACAGCCAGTTCATTACAACCCTTTTGGGCAGGATTGTTTTGCTATTTAATGTAAGT